ACTTTTTAAAAGACAGAGGCATCATGGTTTAGAAATGTCTTTTCCCCCGTTATGATACTTCTCTAAAATTTGATTTGGGTGAGATAAATTATTCCCCATCATTCTCCAACATTCCAGTTAGTCATAGGACAGTGGTTACATGTGTGTAAAACCTTCCTGTTTAGGGAAAATGAGCCAAGTTAACCATACTCACGTCACTTGGCAAATCAGGAAAGCGGCGTAATGCAGTAGCCCACGGCAGGACCTCTAGAAGCAAACTGCTGGGGCTGGAATCTCGGCTTGACCTGTTACTCTAGGTGTGTAACCTTGGAAATACTCTCTCAGCCTCGGTTTCCTGTTCTGTAAGAGTAAGGATGCAGCACTGTTATGCAGGTTTACTGTGAGACTAGATGAGGGAAGACAAAAAAATCTATTGTAGAGTGCCTGGCACTTCACCAGAGCTTAGAATTAGCTGTTGGTAACTTGTGTGCATTTAAAAATAAAGTCTTTCCTTTTTTTTCTTCCATCAACACAATGTTTTCTTTTGTTTTGTTGGACTCTTTTGGCTATATAATTTCAGCTCGAGGTATGAAGAAATGAGATGATTTTCAGTTGTTTCAGGCAAATCTGCAAGAGAGCAGTGAAGTGACTTCACCCATCATGTATCTTTGTTGCACTGATCCCTTTGCAGATCAACTGCTGGTAGATATACATCTTTCTATTAGTACATTGGTTTTTTAAAAAAATTGAAATATAATTCACATACTATAAAATTCAACCTTTTTAAGAGTGCAATTTGGTGGATTTTAACATATTCTCATGAATGTTCCACCATTACCACTATCTAATTCCGAAACATACCTGTTAGCAATCCCCTAGAGTCTTATCAGCAACAAACCTACTTTTATCACTATGGGCTTACCTACTCTAGAATTTTAACATAAATGGAATCATGCAGTATGTAACCTTTTGTGACTGATTTCTTTCACTTAGCCTAATATTTTTAAGAGTCTTCTTTGTTGTAGCATGTATCAGAGTTTCATTTCTTGCTTTTTTCTTTTGCCATTGGATAATATTTATTGACATAATAAAATGTTTTAGAAATATTGTATGAAAAAGCTACAAAGAAGCCTATATGTACAAAAAGGCATATATATGTATATCAGAGTGTTTTACTTATACTTTCAAAGATTAATGTATATGCACGAAAAATAGACTAGATAAAAACACACCATAATGTAAATCCAAATAACTTTTAAAATAGAGATTATTTTTAACTTTGTGCTTGTCTATATTTTTCAAAAATTTTACAGTGAATATTTACACTTTAGCAACCAGAAGAATGTACAATAAGTGCTATTTTGAAAATTTAATGCACATGCTAATTCGATTATTATTTTATTGTTATTCTATTTTAGATTCAAGGGGTACAAGTGTATAATATACAAGTGTATATTTGATATATGGATATATTGTGTATTGGTGGGGTTGGGTTTCAGGTAGCCCATTTCCCAGATAGTGAACCCTGCAGGTAACTTCTGAGCCCTAACGCCTTCCACGTTTTATAATTATAAAAGCAGTATAATAATATTTTTTAAAAGGAAATCTATGATCTCAAAGTTTTAACCAGGGATGCATCCATAAGTGATACACTAATTATTACATAAGTATATAGGAGTACTTTATTACACCATTTCATTCATTCATTTTTTTATTCAAAGTTTTCATTCCTTTCATTTTTAATGTCTTTTTTTTTTTTTTTCCAAACAGAGGGTTTCTTTTATTTTTTTAAAGTCCATGGAGTACAAATGTTTGTTTGTTACATGGATGTATTGAGTAGCATTGGGGATTGGGCTTCAGGTGACCCATTTCCCAGGAGTCAACATTTACCCAATAGGTAACTTCTGGACCCTAACCTTTTCCCACCTCCGCCCTTATTGGTATTCTCAGTGTCTATTATTTCCATTTTTACGGTCATTTAGCTCCATCATATAGTGAAAACATGTGTTTGTTTTATATAATGAATTTTTCCCACTTGAATAGCTACTTAGTAGTGGGATTGCTGGGTGGAATGGTAGTTCTATTTTTAGTTGTTTGAGATATCTCCATACTGTTTTCCATAAAGGTTGCACTAGTTTACAATCCCAGCAACAGTGTGTGAATGCTCTCTTTTCTCCATATGTGTGCCAACATCTGTCCTTTGGCTTTTTAATAATAGCCAATCTGACTTATATGAAATGATATCTCATTGTAGTTTTAATTTGCATTTATCTAATGATTAGTGATGCTGAGCATTTTTTTACATTTGTTGGCTGTTTTTGTGTCTTCTTTTGGGAAAACCTACTCATGTTCTTTGCCTACTTTTAATGAGGTGTTTTTTAAATTTTCCCCCGTGGTTTCTTGTACCAGTACCATGTTGTTTTTTTGTTTGTTTGTTTTGTTGTTGTTGTTGTTTGAGTTGGAGTCTCACCTGTCATCCAGGCTGGGGTGCAGTGGCGTATTCACTGCCACAACAGCATCGACTAGCTGGGCTCTGATGATCCTTCTGCCTCAGCCTTCCAAGTAGCTGGAACTACAGGCACTCGCTACCACACCCAGCTAATTTTTTGATTTTTATTGTAGAGCTGAGGTCTTGCCAAGTTGCCCAGTCTGTTTTTGAACGATGGGCTCAGGCAATCCACTCACCTCGGCCTCCCATAGTGCTGGGATTACAGGTTTGAGCCACCACACCTGGCCCATGCTGTTTTTAATTACTATAATCTTGTAGCATAATATGAAGTCAGGAAATGTAATGCCTCTGCTTTTGTTCTTTTTACTTAGAATTACTGTGACTATTTGGACTATTTTTGGTTTCATATAAACTTTAGGATGTTTTTTCTAATTCTGAGAAAAATGATGTTGATATTTTTATAGGGATTGCATTGAATTTATAGATTGCTTTGGGCAGTGTGGTCATTTTGATAATACTGATTCTTCTGATCCATAAGCATGGAATATTCTTCCATTTGTATCATCTACAATTTCTTTCATCTGTGCTTCATAGTTCTCCTTGTGGAGATCTTTCATCTCTTTGTTTTAGTGTATTTACAGGTATTTAATTTGTTTGTGGCTATTGTAAATGGGATTGAGATCTTGATTTTGTTCTCAGCTCAAGTGATATTGGTGTATATGAATACTACTGATTTTTGTATATTGATTTTATATTCTGAGACTTTACTGAAGGTGTTTATCAAGTCTAGAAGCCTTTTCGAAGAGTCTTTAGGGTTTTCCAGGTATATAGTTACGTCATCAGCGAATAGAGATAGTTTGGCTTCCTTCTTGATGATTTGAATGACTTCTTTTGTTTCCCTTGCTAGATTGCACTGCCTAGAACTTCCAGTACAGTATTGGAAAACAGTTGTGAGAGTGGACATCATTGTCTTGTTTCAGTTCTGAGGAGGAATGTTCTCAATTTTCCCCATTAAATAGATGTTGGCTATGGTTTTTTCATGTAAGGAGTTACCCACCCCCCCATAAAACTGGAATTATCTTTTGGAGGGTGAACTCCCTGTAGTACAGAATTCCCCCTCTAGGTAAGTGTTCTAGGATCACACTGGCATCAGTGTACCAGCTAGCATTGTTGTAAGAGGCTGCATTTAGTTTTAGTGAATTTTTTTGGAGATTCTTTCAATGCATTTGCCCATTTCATGGTAGGTGATTTACGAGCATACCTGCATACAGCATGCTGAGTGTTCAACAGTTTTTGACTAAAAACAGCATCACCCCCATGACCCATCCTCCCTATTCACCTGATCTCATCCCCAGAGACTTTTTTGTTGTGTTTTACTGGAGCAAAAAATGTTCTCAAAGGAAAACATTTTTGTGGACATGGAAGAAGTGAAACAAAAGTGGCAGAAGCACTAAAAAGCATCAGTATTGATCAGTTCAAAAGTATTTTGAGAGGTAGAAAAAGCATCTTGGTAGGTGTATTGCATCAATTGGAGAGTACTTTGAAGGTGACTGAAGTTTAAACATGTCAGGATAAATACACAATTTTTAATAAATAAATTCCAGGGGTTTTGGGTCCCCCCCTCCTCATATATGGCTCTTATTATTTTGGGATATGTTTCTTCAATGCCTAGTTTGTTGAGAATTTTTATCACAAAGGGATGGTGCCTTTTCTATGTCTATTCAGATGATTATTTTGTTGTTGTTTCTCTTTATTTGGTGAATCACCTTTATTGTTTTATAGATACTGAACTGGCCTTACATCCCTGTAATAAAACTCACTTGATTGTGATGGATTTTTTATTAATGTGCTGATAAATTTTGTTTGCTTATATTTTGTGGAAAACTTGTGCATCTCTGTTCATCAGAGATATTGGCTAGCCTGTAGTTATCTTTTTTGCTGTCAGTGTGATACTGGTCATAGAATGAGTTAGGAAGGACTCCTTTCTCTTTCTCTTTGATATTTTGGTAATTAATTCAGTAAGACTGGTACCAACTCTTCTTTGTACTTCTGAAAAATTTGGCTCTGACTCTGTGTGGCCCTAGACTTTTTTGATGTTGTTGGAAGACTCTTTTTAATTATCGATTCAATTTTATAGCTTCTTATTTGTCTGTTCAGGTGTTCTATTTCTTCCTGGTTCAGTCATGGAATATTGTATGTTTCCAGGAATAAATCCACTTCCTGTAGGTCAGAACTCCCTTTCTTTTAAAGGCTGAATAATATTTCATTGCATGGCTATATACCACATTTTTGATTATCCATTCATCAGTTGATGGAGATGCATAGTTTCTCACAGATTGGTTGTTAGGGAAATCTTTGAAAGCAGTTTTGCTTCATCAGAACATGTATTGCAAATTTATATTTTTCTCCTGAGTCAAATTCTTTTGTGGTCAACTTTTTATGAGGACATCTTATAGGATCAGATTGAGAAATTGAAATTTGAATTTTATTTTAGAGAGGGTTAAATAGCATTTTTTCATTCAAGTTTGTTTCTTTCATATCTTAACTCTGAAGCTTTTCTGTACTTTTCTAGGGAGAAAGAGGAGCAACTAACTCGTGTGACTGAAGTTCAGAGGCTGCAAGCCCAGCAGGCAGATGCTGCTCTGGAGGAGTTTAAGCGGCAGGTGGAGCTGAACTCAGAGAAAGTCTACGCTGACATGAAGGAGCAGGTAGGGAGGCAGGCACACCATCCTTTCCGAAGGTCACTGTCAGTGGGAGGGCACGTGCGCATCTTCAATATGACAGAAGCATTTTACTTTTTGAAAGAGCTTTACCAAAAGGAGCCAATTGGGTCGGAGATTCAGAATGAGAAAGAGGTACTTCTCCATTCATCATTCCTCAAGCAATGCCAGGATGATCATTTCCCTTCTCAAAATGCAGTCATAGCAAGAATGGATCTTGCCTTGGGAGGATGGAACAGCCTGCAAGAAAAATGCCGTGACAGATCATTTTCTGTAGCACAGGGGCTTAAGTTAAGCATGTCTTTGTTTCTTCATGTTCCATAAATAGTGTCTGACTTATCACTTACAGCAAATTATTTTCAACTGGCAGTTCAGGAGGAGAGAGGCTGTCTCTAGTTCTTGTACAGGATAGGTAGTATATTTTTTAGTTTTGAAAGAAAATAAAAAGTCTGTAAAAGAATAAAGGGAATTATTATATACACTTATTTATGCATTGTGAAAAAGGAATCATTGTCAATACTATGCTTATATAAACAAAAACATTGCAGAGGAGGTTTTAGATTATTGTTACTCATTTCTCAACACATTTATTCTCTCCTCTTCACCTCTGAGAAAGTCACTTTAATTAATTTAGTGTGTATAGTTTCCCCTCAGTATCTATATGTACTGCATCTGTGAAGTCAACCAACCATGGACCAAAAATATTTGGAAAAAAAATCCAACAAATTGCCCAAAACTTCCACACGAATGAAGTGAAGTATAGACATTATTTTTAGGTATTAGAAATAATCTAGAGATGGTTTTAAGTATACAGAAGGATGTGCATAGGTTATATGGGACTACTATGACATTTTCCATAAGGGACTTGAGCATCTGTAGATTTTGAGATCTATGAGGGGGTCTTAGAACTAATCTCCCATGAATATTGAGGGACAACTGTATTATTTCAGTTTACTTTATACTTTTATGTGCATATATAATGCCCATTAAAATATGTATTATATGTACGTATTATATGTTATAGGCATATTTAATTGTTTTCTTTTTCTGTTTTAAAAAATTAGATAAATGCAGATTTTAAGTATTATACTTGTTTGCTCTTTTAATATTACGTATCTGTGCTCTAACCATGTTGATTTAGTGTAGTCCTTTTAACAATAAATGCATGTTATCACATGTATATACCACATTTGTAAGCTCTTCTGTTCAAGCATATTTAATTTCAGTTTTTCTTGATTTGAAATAATGTTACAGTCCTTGCTTGTGTTTCAGTTTTCTGTCGTAGCTGTCTTCCTTAGGAGTCCCCAGCACACACTGGGTGGTAGCAGGTCCCTAAGGAAGGTTTCATGCTGGAATCTGAGGGAGCCTGTAAGGTTTACTGTTTGGAACTGTGTTTATTTTTGCTGTTAGTTTTCAATTCTGATGTCCACTCATACAGATTTGTGTGAATTTGGTCCCTGAGAGGGAGAGTCTGATAGCCCATTATTCTATTTGCCACTGTTTGCCTAAGGCGAAAGCTGAATTCCTGCTGAGAGTTTGTACTGGAAAGCTGAGACTTTCAGTCCTTGCTACATTGATGTGTACTTCTTTCCAGCTCCCTTCTGTGATTGAGGCCCAGACCCTGGGATGTATATCTGGTCCAGATATTCAATGGAACTGCATAGGAAGCTGTCTGATAGGCCTAAAATTAAAGAAATTGAGAAAATATTGAAGAAAAGCCCCAGGCAAGAATGTTTAGGTATACTGTTAAGAATCTTAGGTTAAAAATTAGACATTTGAAAGTGCTAAGGCCCACAGTATAGGTTTCTGAGAACAGCTGACTGTGATAGTCACCTTTGGCTCAGTAAATGCACTTCTTGGAGTTGGTGATGTAAAGTTAACAGCTTGCAGAATTCATGGGCAAGTAAGAAGAAAAAGCAAGCAGACAACATTGGATCTGTGAAAACATTCTGTAGAAAAAGGAAAGGTTGCTGCATTCGCCCCCACAAGGTAAAGCATACTTCTGAAAATGACCTGTAGAATTCAGAAAAAAAATTTCAGAAAAGTAGTACTTTTATAAGAGACTACAGATCAAATACGGTTCATGCAATGAAAACTGAATACATCCTGGTACAAGAATTAAACCAAGAATAAAATTATAATTTTGCACTAGCTAAGAGATTAGAAAAATAACAGAGAAAAAATAACATTAGAAAATAATGCTTCATAGTTTTAAAAGAAAAAGCTTGTGACTCAATTTTATACACAATCAAGGTGCAGTCACTTGCAAAATCAATAGGAAAACCTTTACTTATGTATAAGAGCAAAGAAACGAAATAAGTGGCATATATTTATGTTAAGAGCCTATATAATATCTATCACTTCTTTTCTTTCTGGAAAAAATTATATGGACACAATACCAATCCAGAATGAAAAACAAGACTTCCCACAAGTGAGGACGGAAGCCACAATACAGAAGGCTGGGTAGAGAACACTGGAGACCAATGAAGTAGAGACAGACTAAAATAAAATTGCACCAAAAAGCCACGTGGAAAGAATGACGACAATGTGTCGCCTGTTCAGACCAAAAGAAGGTGGGACTGTAACCCTGTTACGTAAGTTAGAATCAATACAAGTCAACAGACTGGACAGCGGGATGTATTTTTGCATGCCAGAGACAAGAGTACTCAACCCAAGTATGAAAAGATGTTAGGAATCCATGGAGAAGTTAATTTCGATCGTTATGTTATACTTTAATTTAGCTTTCTCCCTCTTTGACGGATCAGGGGAACAAAAGCCAAATAAATGAGAGGTCTAAATAATAGTTTATAGGACGGCTGTGTTTCTACTTTTTAACATTTAGAGACGACTCATTAAGTCTCTACTCTCATAAAACAGTTATAAAGCTCAGTAGACCTTGGTATATTTCTAAAACTTGGCATGTCAGAGAACACATATTTTTAAGCACAATGCAGTATAATTAGAAATTACATTTCAGTTAAAGTTGCTACATTGCACTTCACCAAAATTAGAAGCTTTTGGTGTCTACGAAAGACACCATTAAAAAACAACAGAAGGAAGTAAGACAAGCCAGAGAATGGAAGAAAAACTCACACTGTATATATTTCAAAGAATTTGTATCTAAAATATAAAAGAAGTCTTACTACTCAATGGTCAGACAAACAACTCAAAGCTAGGCAAAAGATTTGAACAGGCACGTCACAGAAGAAGATAGACAAGCGACTAATAAACTCATGAAAAGATGCTCAATGTGATTATCATTCATCAGGGAAATGCGAATTAAATCCAAAATGACATGCCATTATTCATTCATTAGAATTATGAAAATGGTAGAGACTGGTTGATAATGTCATGTATTCGCAAATATGTGGTGCAGTTGGAACTCTTATATACTGCTGGAGGGTGTGTAAAATAGTACAGCCACCTTGGAATACTGCCAGTTTTCCTAAAACACTAAATATATCATAACATATGTCAGTCATTCCACTCTAATGTATTTAACCAGGATAAATAAAGACAGGTCCAGACAAAGACTTCTGCACAAATATTGACAGCAGATTTGCTCACAAAATCTCAAAATGTGCATACCAAAATGTTTCCCAACAGGTGAAAGGGTAAACAAAATGCAGTATGTACAGTAAAATGGTCCGCAGCTGGAAAGAGGAATGAACTATTAATATACCACAGTCACATGGCTGAATCACGAAATCCTACCGAATGAAAGACTATGAAAACAAAATAATATATGTAGAGTGTCTTGTAGTGTGAGTCCTGTAGATTTCTCTAGATAATGTCGCATTTTTTGTTTTAACAGAGTATAAACCCAATTCAATTCAGTGCAAAAGTCTTGTCTCATCTTCTGTGGGTGGATTCCAGTGTTAGTTAAGTTTCAGAGCCTTTGCAATGCTTCTTTGAGTCTGTTTTCACTCGTGCTGCTCAGTGGTGAGTCTCAGACGTGGGTGGTGATTTAAATCACCCCACCCAATGACTGCAGGCTTTCATGGAACATTCTCCACGATAGACCCTATGCTTGGACACAAAACAAGTCTCAAATGTAAAAGGAGTTTAATGCAGAGTATCTTCTTTGACTTCAACAATAATAAATTAGAAATAAACAACAAAAGAAATTCTGGGAAATTCCCATATATTTGGAAATAAAATCACACACTTCGAAATAATTAATGGGTTATAGAAGATATTGCAGGGGAAATTAGAAAATATTTTAAACTGAATTAAAATAAAATATGGCATATTGGAATTTATAAAATGCAGTGAACACAGTGCTTGCAGAAAAATGTACAGCTTTAAATATCTAGTTTGAAAAAGAAAGCACACAGCATCAATAACCTAAACTTTACTTTATGAAGCCAGAAAACGAAAAGCAAGGCAAGCTTTGGTCTATACAAACAGAAAAAGGAAATAACAAAATTAGAACATAAAGCAAAGATTTGAATACAGAAAAACAGAAAAATCAATGGAGTCAAAAACTGGTCCTTTGAAAAGATCAACAAAATCAACAAACCTTAGTTTGACTGGCCAAACAAACAAACCATAAAAGTGAGGACATACCAATGACCAAAGTTAGTAGTTAAAAAGGAAAGGATACCACTATTGTTCCTATAGAAAATGAAAAGATTATAAGGTGATATTTCCCAAAAACTTTATTCCAACAAATCATACAACTTAGATGAAGTAGACAAATTCCTAGAAGGATGCTAATTACCAAAAATGTCTAAAGAAGAGACAGAATATCTGAATTGAACTATAATAAGAAATCTAGTTGCCAATTAAAAACCTTTTCACAAAGAGAAGTTCAGGACCAGATGGTTTCACTGATGAATTACATCAAATATGTAAAAATAATAATTTTAATTCTTTGAAGTCTTTTCAGAAAATCGAGACGGAACACTTGCCAATTCATTCTGTGAGGCCGGTGTTGCCATGATGTCAAAGCTAGACAATGATGTGGCCAGTAAACTACAGATTAA